TTCCGTACCCACTGTGTATATATATATATATATATATAAAATCAGTTGCTCTAATATAATATTACCAAACCTTATGAATGAGTCATTTGCTGAATTCAGAACTGTGTACTAGTTACTATTTTACTTACTATGTCTGCCATAGAAAAATGAATACTGTAGTAAGAGTAGTATGCGGATTCAGTGATTGAGTCATTCAATCAATGGAATCATTCAAAAACACTGATTCATTCAGATTAAGACTGATTCGTTAATTTAATAGACAAACTGAAATTCTGAATTTGAAATACATGCAGCCAAAGATAAATTATGGGAAACAGAAATTAGTTCACTCCAAGTCCTACAGCGTCTTTTTGAGATGTTGCGTATGCACAGTCACAACAAAATTAACAAATCAGTCTCTGAGACAACTTGTTATTCTCAAGTCATATCAGAGATTCATATAAAAGAACAAATCATTCATGAAAGACTGTACTAAACAACTGTGCTGAACCAAGACTGATTCGTTAATTTAATAGACAAACTGAAATTCTGAATTTGAAATACATGCAGCCAAAGATAAATTATGGGAAACAGAAATTAGTTCACTCCAAGTCCTACAGTGTCTTTTTGAGATGTTGCGTATGCACAGTCACAACAAAATTAACAAATCAGTCTCTGAGACAACTTGTTATTCCCAAGTCATATCAGAGATTCATATAAAAGAACAAATCATTCATGAAAGACTGTACTAAACAACTGTGCTGAACCCATAACAGTTCTGTAACTATTGTGTCTTAAAGGGGTCATATGATGCTATTTTAAAGATCATTATTTTGTGTATTTGGTGTAACAGAATATGTTGACAGGCTTTAATGTTCAAAAAAACACATTCTTTTTCAAATACTGTACATTATTGTAGGTCCTCTATGCCCCGCCTCTCTCAAACGCTTCGTTTTCAACAAAGCCCCCTCCTTTGACAAGCGCAGTCTGCTCTGATTGGCCAGTTGACCCAGTGCATTGTGATTTGCCAAACACCACAAGCACGCGACGGAAATGTAACGCCCCTTACCATAATCGCAAGCTTCAGCTTTCAAAGTAAATATCAAGACAGTTAATAATGTCGTTAGTTTTACCATCAGTTCAAGCCCGAAAGGGCAACAGAGTCGCGTGACAGACAGTGATGATGCAGTACACAAGCCACGGATAAGACAGCTGACGTGCTATGATTTCTGACAGACAGTTCACTCTCCTGTGATGTGACCCTG